CAAATCGCCTGCCTTCAAGGCACTGCCGAACTCTTCAAGGGACATCTCGTTCAGCTCAGAAAGAGCATCTACTGCAGGCATAGCCCCGAGGCGGACGTCGCCATCTTCCTCCCCCGTCATACCGTTGACGAGGGTGTATAACTGTGCACCGTCGTCTTCGGTAGACATACCCTGGATCAGGGTCGACGCCCGGCATCTTGCAGCCAGGATACGGCGTCTCCGTCGCCTCTGAACAGAGCCCAAGATGCCTCCGACTCTGTCCGACCACGCCATCAATGACATGCAGCGACTGCTTCGAATCTTGAGCAGCGCTCAAAGGGCTACGTGCCACTCCACGATCAGCCCGCGAGCCACGTTCGGGACTCCTGTCCGATGCACCGTTTGTGTCTACCAACTCGGACATTCTAATGTCTAGCACGTTGACAGTGCTCTCGCCATAGCGCTTTTGTCTCTTAGCAGAGGTGGATACATGGCTCGCCTAAGCTCCACCAGGAGACGTGCGCGTAGCGGCCAAGGTCTTTGACCTCGAATCAATCCATGGCTCATGGTGTTCCAACCATGCCATTCCAAGGATGAGGCTATACCTTGCATCCAAGTCTAAGACTAGACAGCGTTTCACGCGATCAAAGCCAAGGAACTTGACTTCGAGGTCCACAGGGACCTTCGGGACCGTGACACGTGTCCCCGTCGCAAGGCGAACAGTGACGATGTCACCCAATCGCGCCTTCAGCGCCTCTTCATACAGCTGACTTCCCTCCATCGTGAAGCGTCGAGCATAATTGCCCGACGCCTAAGAATCGATGAGGATCTTCCATGGCTTCCCGAAGCCCTTTACGGTCGCCTCCACGACCAACAAGCCTGGCTTGCACACACGTTCCGTGCTCAAGAGAACTAGGCTCTTTGAGGCTGGGCCCGGTTGACCTATGCCTCCCTGAGGCTCAACGGAACTCGGTTCTTCCCCAGTAGGTCTCCCCGCGCCTACTGAGTAGTGTAGTTTCCCCGCGACAAACCAGACTGGTAGGCGTTGGGGCGACGGTTCGAAGAACCTTGACGCGTCTTACGCAGGGGGCAACCGTTCCGCGGGTGACGGTTGTCTTCACAGACAAAACCTCGTCGAATGTGTGTATGCTGCCCGTCAGCTCGGAGCTCTGCTCCCTCGTCCTCAGTATAGACGAGCTGTTGGAGTGTGCATTCCAACCAAGTCGTGCAGACTTGAAATTGAATCCGGCATTCAATGCCACATTCACCGCCTTTCTAAACGAGGAACAATGCACACGGAAGACTTCCATTCTGGCTACGCCAGTGCGAAGGCCTTCCACAAAGACAGTCACTGTGACCGCCTCCGGGGAGGATCTGCTGCCATCGCAGCAATGAGAGTTCGCATCTCTTGGACAAAGTCCACCAATTCCTTGTTGCCCTGTCGGACGGAAAGGAAGCGCGATCGTACGCGATATGTCTGATTAGGCGGCGAGAACACTCGTGATAGCTGCAATTTCAGCTCCGTCCAGGAGAGAAATGCAGCTTCGACCGAAATGCCGCACGTCAGTGCCCATTCTCGCGCTCGATCACTGAGCTTTGAGATGGCTAACGTTACGCGCTGTTGCTCGGTCTGGAGCATGGCGGATGCGATAACCTCTCGACCTTTCTCACTCAGAGCAGGAGATTCTCTTCATCCTTCCTCCTAAAGACCTTAATGCTCACCATGAGCGGCTTAAGGCAGGGAAATCTTCCGTCACCGACGGTGGCGTCATAGACGCAAATGATGCAGACATCTCCTGCTGCAGATGCTCTAGCAGTGCGTTTTCGTAGCTTGAAAACGCCTCTAGACGAGCACCGATTGCCTCGAGACCTTGCGCTACAAGGTGTTGCACACCCTCAGGGGCAAGCAAGGACATTAGCTTGTTAAACCCGTCCAGCATGCCCTGGGGCAAAGGGAAAAATTCGTCCATCCCCACAGAGGATCCTTAGCGACTCAGGTGTAGATTGACTACCAGTGCTACCAAGTGCAGCGGGTCTGCCGTAGCTAAGCGCTTGAAGAAGCGTACTTTATGCCACCGAC